GGTTTAGGGTTTAGGGTTTGGGGTTTAGGGGTTTAGGGTTTAGGGTTTAGGGTTTAGGTCTAGGGTTTAGGGTTTAGGGTTTAGGGTTTAGGGTTTAGGGTTTAGGGTTTAGGGTACAACAGCCTCAGAATCCTCTGGGTGCGCGGGGGCTCTCAGAGGGGGCCGGGGCACCACAGCGCCAAGCGCCCTCGCAGCTCACAGCACTCCCAAACCCCTCCAAGAGTCTCCAAGGCCTCCAGAAATGTTCGCATCCTAAACCCTAAACCCTAAACCCTAAACCCTAAACCCTAAACCCTAAACCCTAAACCCTAAACCCTAAACCCTAAAGGTCGTGGCCGCTTCTGGGCCAAGGTTTCGGGCCATTCTGGCATGCCTTCAGTTCCAGCACGCGCGTCGCGCACGCCGGCACCTTCCAGTGCAGCTAGTGGAGTTCCTTCGCTGCGAGCTGGCAGGGGCACCTGCACGCTCGCTGCTGCTCGCAGTAGCACCAGCAGCTCGCTTACCCTAAACCCTAAACCCTAAACCCCTATTTTCTATAGGGGTTTAGGGTTTAGGGTTTAGGGTTTAGGGTTTAGGGTTTAGGGTTTAGGGTTTAGGGTTTAGGGTTGGGGTTATACGGCTTAGGGATTCAAGCTCGATGATGTAAGGCCTGGCGGCCAAGAAATGTGCGAGCGGTCCTTTTGATGCGTTTTGTGAACCAGTGGTTTGATGCATGCTTCTTGTTGCAGCAGCGGAGTGAGAAGTGAGAGCTAGGGACCCCCTAGAAGCCGAAACCCTAAATCCTAAACCCTAAACCCTAAACCCTAAACCCTAAACCCTAAACCCTAGATGACACTGTGCCCAGCGGCATGAAGTCCAGAGCCGTGGCGACTCCGATGTCTGGCCTGAAGTAAGAGTTCAGGGATTTGTTGGGATTTAGGGTTTTGAGGGTTCAGGGTTCAGGGTTGAGGGTTGAGGGCTGAGGGTTTGGGGTTTAGGGCCAAGAAAAGTGTCGGAGGGACTTGTCCAGACGAGAAAGTATCGACATGCGAAAGCATCCCTGATCTTGACGCCCTACACCCTACACCCTACACCCTAAACCCTAAACCCTAAACCCTAAGCCCTAAACCCCCAAACCCCAAACCCGAAAACCAACCCTCAAACGCACTCCGCCGGCGCACTCCTGAACGCAGCGCAACTGCCAGGCTCAACCCTCCATGACCCCAAAACCGAGGGTTCAGGGCTTCGAGTTTAGGGTCTATAGGGGTACGAGCAGCAAGGGTTCAGGGTAGTTCAGGGTTTAGGGTTTAGGGTTTGGGGTTTAGGGTTTAGGGTTTAGGGTTTTTGAGGTCCAGGGTTCAGGCGGGTTTGGGTCTTAGGGTTCAGGGCTCAGGCTGCGCCAACGCGCCCTGCACGCAATCCCCGCTTCAAGCAGCCCTCACCAGGGCAGCTTGTTCAAGAGCTTAAGCTTCAGGGATTAGGGTTTAGGGTTCGGGGTCTCGGGTTATGCCTTTAGAGCTTTGGGAATCTAGACCCTAAACGCCCTAACCCCCAGCCCCCCCCCCCCCAGCTTTCTGAATGAAGCTCTCATGCGGCCGAAAGTCTGGGAGTTACTGGTGCCGATGCGCACTTTCACGTTTGCGATGTCGGGGTGCCTGGGAAACATAGCTGGGGTCCTTACTCTGAGGCGATCCTACCATGTGGCGGTCTGTCTTCGGGTCCTTTATTATCGTAACCCCCCAAGTCAAGTAAACGTGCGTGAGGCTTCTCGTGTAGGACTCTAGTTGTCTTTGGGCCGGAGTGTCGGATTTTAGGGTTTGGGGTTTCGGGTTGTGTGGCAATGATTTCAGCATGTACAACTCCTACCTGACAGTACCCTGAACCTTCAAGAAATCCTAAACCCTCAACCCTGCAGGGAGTTATGACATCAAGAAAGGCCCAGCTGCTCGGAGAAGACGCTTCCACCGCCAAACCCTAAATCCTGCCTACGGCCCCCCAATCCGCGCGCCTTGATTTCCTAAACCGACACCCCTCATCCCTAACCCCTACACCCTAGCCCTAAACCCTAAATTTGTGGCGGCCCGCTAAACCCTAAACCCCAAGAAGTGATGTCCTAAACCGAAACCCAAGAGGCGGAAACTTCACAAACCCCGTTTCTGAGCATACGCTCTGGACGTTAAGAGATGGGATGTTCATCCTTTATACTGACAGTCCGTACTAGGGGTTCTCGTATCCCCTGGTAAAATCACCATTAAGGACTGTCATTATTCGTGGGAACACCCAAACCCAAAGACATCCCCATGGCGTCCTCCCGGAGGACCGGGCATAGGATCCGCACATGCATCCCCTTCCAAAAAAGGCTTTCTGGTTAGGGTTTAGGGTTTAGGGTTTAGGGTTTAGGGTTTAGGGTTTAGGGTTTAGGGTTTAGTGTTTATGGTTTAGGGTTTAGGGTTTCGGGTTTAGGGTTTAGGGTTTAGGGTTTAGGGTTTAGGGTTTAGGGTTTAGGGTTTAGGGTTTAGGGTTTAGGGTTTAGGGTTTATGGTTTAGGTTTAGGGTTTAGGGTTTAGGGTTTAGGGTTTAGGGTTTAGGGTTTAGGGTTTAGGGTTTAGGGTTTAGGGTTTAGGGTTTAGGGTTTAGGGTTTAGGGTTTAGGGTTTAGGGTTTAGGGTTTAGGGAACATGAAAGCCTTGACAACAAAAAGGCTCAAAACCAAAAAACACCCCAAACGCTGCACCCGAAGCCCAAAAAAAAAGGAACGCGCTCACTGGCGCGAGTCTGACGCCCGGGGCGCAAAGACGGAATAGAGATGATTGGCGCACCGAAACCTCGGGGAGGAAGTTCGGCGCTAAGGGCTATTAGGCTTTAGAGGTCTTAGGATAAAGGTTTAGGGTTTAGGGTTTTGGGTTTATTGTTTAGGGTTTAGAGAGCTGAAGGATTCACGCTTTAGGGGTCTTAGGGTGGTGGGGCTTGGGGTGTATAACTCTAGGGCTTAGGGGGCATATACCTACCCTTCAAGGGATTGCATGGGGTCACCCCACTACGAACCAGTAAGCTTGAAGAACCAGACAAGGGTTCTCAGAAACTCTCCCCAGGCAGTGGTAGGAAGGCAGGGAGGGCTTAGGGTTTAGGGCTTATAGGGCCTGGTATCCCTTGGCGGGTTGTGCGGGTTCGTGGCCTGAGGAAACGTCACTCCCACTTGAGCCTTTGCCCCGCTTCGAGCATGGCTGCCTCCTCGCCGTGGACTTCCACGGACCGCCGCAAATCGTCGCCTAAACCCTAAACCCTAAACCCTAAACCCTAAACCCTAAACCCTGAGCACCAGTCGAACCCAGCGGCCGCGCGTCAACGTCAGCGCACGTACCGTAGTCGGCGGGGGCATGCGCGGTCTCTCTCTCTCTCTCTCTCGGTCACTCTCTCTCTCTCTCTCTCTCTCGGAGGGCTTAGGGCTTAGGGCTTAGGGTTGAGGGTTTACGGCTTAGGGTTTAGGGCTTAGGCTTGAGGGCTTGGGGCTTAGGCTTGAGGGTTTAGGATCTAGGATGGAGGGCTTGGGGGTGTTCACCCTGACGCCGATGGTCCGAATTGGCGTTCAGGTGGACGATGCCCGTAAAGACAGGGGTATCTCCCCTTGGTCACAGTTTGCGCTCGATTCGATCCGATATCTTCAGTTCTGGGATCATCTTAGTAGTAAGTTTGGATAGGACTCCACGGGTGCACAAACTGCTCGTTTCATTAGACAGCTTCTGACCTCCGACCTGGTTCTCCTCTTAAGCCAACTGTGGATTTGGTAGCTGTGTCGCCAAGCACAACACAGGTTTGCCTGGTGACCACTATCTCCTAGTCTCCAACATCAGAGCTCAATTCGGAGCCAAAATTCATTGGGTTCAGGGCTTAGGGCTAAGGGTGGCAGGAATTGGGTTCAGGGTTCAGATCATATGATTCTGTGAGGCTAAGGGTTTTGTGTTTGGGGCTTTGGTCCGTGAAGTTCAGGGTTTTTAAACCCTAAATCCTAAACCCTAAACCCTAAATCCCCGGGCTCTTGGTGGTGGGTGTTTATCCCTAAACCCTAAACCCTAAACCCTAAACCCTAAACCCTAAACCCTAAACCCTAAACTAATCACTCGTTCAAAATCATAACATCGCCTGATTCCGCGGACTGTAGGAGATTGATGTAAAGTGTGCGATTGTGTTCTGGGCAGGATTTTTCTCAAGCGCTGGCCCCGACCATAGATGTGGGGGGCCTAGAGAGGAGTACGCGTGACGATGCCGTCTCTGAAGTCTGACATCTAAACCCTAAAACCCTAAACCCTAATCTGGGCAGGGCCCAGGTTGGGGTATTGCATCGAGACTGGATTGTAGATTCTCGCAGAACGGTTACTTTTGAGATTCGAAGCCTCATTTGTTCCACATTGTGGAACATAGATACCAATGATGTGCATTTCACCGCTGGAGAGTGAAATAGTGAGTCGAAGAATTCTGGGTGGGTGTTGAACAACATCCTGGATATATGGGGCGAAATACATGACTCATTCCTTCAAAGCTCCAAAGCTTTTCTTCCGCACCCGGGGAGGGGGGGGGGGCACTAGTTCATGGTTGGGATGGTATTAAAACTCACCGTCTATTCCTTATTGAATTTAAGCATCCGTAATGATATGCGTGAGACTGCTGGCGTTGAGACTCTCGACAGAAGTAGTCAGAGCTTCCCATCAGATGGCAGGCCCCCTTGGGTTGCCAGTGTCAGGTCCGATGGCTGTCCACGTGACACGCAACCGTTCCCTTCGGACAGGTGGGCTTTCGCGCGCTATCTGGTGGCAAACCGGGGCCGTCGCTCATCAGAAGGTCAGCCCAGTTCCAGTATAGCGCGGTTCTGGAATTCCCGCACGCAGGTTGCGGTACTACACTGTTAGTTGGTCACAGGCGGAAAGCATGGGGCTCGGTACCATGCTCTGGACCCTCCGTCAAGGTGTTGGCATCACCTTGACTACAATCTCCCCGTCCTTTGCCTCATGTGTGCAGGGTCTGAAATCAGACCGGTGGCAAAATTGCCACGTACCTCTGCACCAGGTCTTGGACGGATCCTAGATCGTCCCCTTTTGCTCCATTTAGAGCGTCTATCAGGCAGACCAAGTCACTCTTGGCCAATCGCGTCTCAGCTGCGACTGCATCAAGCATTCCATCAGCAATTTCCGGGGATACATACCCGTAAGCCCGGTTCATGAGGTGGGCGTAGATTGCTGACATGCTGTTCTGCAACCCATTGTCGGTGATGAGGTGCATCAGCTTGAGCTCCCACCACTCATACTTGCGTTTACCGGTTATAACCGTCTCGTCGGTGATTCTGCATCTGTAGTACCGGTAAATCAGCGAGTAGAATGGGAACTGCAACGGGCATTGCTCACACATCATCATGATGGAGAGCATTTTCGTCGCTGCTGCGGTTAAGAATGGGTCGTTTACGTTGAAGGTGATGGTGGCGGCCGCGAATGTTTTTCGGAGCTTTGGAAAACTCCTCATCGCTTTTCCGTCATTGAGTGGGACGAATATCCGGCTGATGAATTCGATGCGCTGTGACTTGTCAATAAGTTTCTCAGCACTAACCCGGCCTGTGCGGTCCTGGGGTTCCAAACTCATGCCAGCGGCAGTGTACATAACTGCCGTCATCACTCCAAGGACCTGTCGGGCGTCTTTTCCTTTCTTGTCCTTCGTCTCAAATTTCTGGATGAAGGCCCAACGAAATCCTTTGAGTCTGTCGTCCCCCTCCCCGTTCAGGAACTCTGAATCTTCCTTCGTGACATGAAGACCTTTCGAAACGCGTATGATGGTCTCCGCGAGGCGTGTCGCTTTCTTTTTGACTCCTTCAAGGACTTGGTTGATGAACTCAGGGTCATCTATCATGTTTGTCAGGAATTGAATGATCTCTTTCAAGGTGTAGACACGCATATCCCACATAGTGAAAATCCTCTCAAGCACAAAGTCAATGGAACGGTCGACGAACCAGTTGATGGCGTAATTGCCAACAGATGTCAACCCGTCTCCAGAGTACCTAATGAGGACCTCTGTGAACAGTGTTAAGGTGTCGAACAAAATCTTGTCCTTCTTTTTCCACCTTGTTTTCGAAACATTCTTGAAGTCGAAAGCCTCTGGAAATTTGTTTGTAATAGCCTTCATGATAGCTTCCTCGATTATCCTTCTAAGTCCTGGCTTGCTTCTGTCGACGGTGCACTTGTCAGTGATCGAAGAGTCGAAACTCCCGAAATCCGTCGATGCAAAGCCGCCCGATTTATACTCGTTGTAAAAGAGTCGGACACGCTCGCAGACACCAGTGTTGTCGGTGCCCTTGATGCTGCGCTGGACAAAGTAAGGTAACCGGAAGATCATCTGCTCGACTGTCTTATTCATCAAGGCCGCGGCAGCAGTGCCTTGTGGGCCTGTGTGTTGGATCAGTCTAGGCTTGATCTTCCCTAAAGCTTCATTAGGCTTCACAAACGCCTTGGTAGGCGGAAGCTTCGTCAATTCGGTGCCAGAGGCTGCCTCGAAATTGTCTTTCTTCATTTGCTCCGTGAAGCTGCTTGGGGCGATTTCGTCAATGGACTTGTGCATGGGGAATAGGGATTTCCCATGCAACTCCGAGACGATCTCGCTTTGCGGTATCTCCATTAGTTCTGTGTCCTGCCTCCGAATGGTCTCTTCATCAATCTCGAGGATGGCAGGGAGAACTTTGTCGACTACCGCATGGACAGCTCTGCGGATTAACTCCCATGGATTGCCTATTTGGTTCTTGAACGCAATACCGTCATATTCTACCTCGGCAAATTTCTCTGCATAATGCCGGTTCCCTATTCCGGCGATAGCATTCGAGTGGGAGTTGCATGCGACATGAATTGCCGTGATGTCTTTGTCTGTGACACCTGGCATGGCGATCCTCGCTTTGGCTGTCACTTGCAGCTGTTCCAAAACGTCGTCGTCAACGATGCAGGATTTTGCCTCATGCTCGAGGACAGCGAGTGCCTCCATCTTACGACCCATGTCTTTGCGTAGGTCTACCTTTTCCCAATCTGTGATGATCTGGACTCCCTCCATGGGCTTTCCAGCATCAGCAGTCGTGTAAGGGATTAGTGGGGTCCCTGGTTCAATGAACCTAGACGCACCAGCTGGGTTGGAGCTCCCAGATGGTCTTTGTTCGTCTGCCGTCGGAACAGTCGCAGACGGTGCTGACGCATCAGCACTGGGCCCACTTTGCGGTCCGGTGACACGAACACCGGTCTGGGTGCCAAAATGGCGATTGGGGAGGAACTGAATGTCCCCCCCCAGGGTCAAAAGCTCCGCCCGTACAGCATGTGCCAAGTACGTCTGGTAGCTGTGCTGCTTGTCTAGAGACGGCTCTTCGACTATGGCTGAGTGTGTGAGGTTGATGTTAGCTAACATCCCTTTGGACTTCTCGCGATCAGAACACACCACGTGTTGTGCGCGATGTAGAAGTCTGTGGTGGTACCTCTCAACCGTGTACATCGGCCTATCTCCCGCGACAAAATGGCGGAGGGTGCATCCAGTGCACCGGTGAGCAAAAACTCGCGCCTGTACATAGCGATCGTCCTCACAGTACGGAGCGGTTGGAAATCCTGTCGGAAGACAGTAATGGCAAATTCCGCCTTCACGGACTGCCATCAATTCTCCAACCTGCGATCGTCTCGACAGGCGAAATGCAATGTCCCACTGGGTGAGCACATGTGATGTAAATGACCCAATATCCCAGATCAGGCGTCTGAGGACTTGGAAAAGCATGCTAGGCTGTGGAATGCCTGTGCTGAAATACGAACCAATCGATAATAAGGCAGCACTAATGTAACAGAAATGAATGAAGCCGGTGGATTTGAAAGCTGCGATTTCGAGGAAAAAGAGTGAGACGTCAAAACTTGCCTCAGCAAACCACGCAGTGTGAAGAAGGAGTGCAATACTTCTTCCGCCCGTGGTTGCACGACTCTGTTTAGTCCACTGCCTCGAACTCGACTGTCGCTGCCATCCTCACCTCCGGCGTCGTCTTCACTCGGAAAGAGTCCTTCCAGAACTCGAGCTGCTTCAACACTTCGGCATCGCAGCGTGCTCCATAGAAAGGATGCGCCGGTGTGGACACTGTCCCGTACAAGCTGTGCCACGACGGTGTTTCGCCCGACTCTTCCGATGAATCCGAGAATCCGACCTGGGCCATCCGCCCAAGGTCCTTCAGCTCCTCCCACGCTCTGGCAGTCAGTCCGAAGAGGACTCTGCCGCCCATAGGGTTCTTCGAAGATGGCACAGTCTTCATGAGGGCTAGCACCATCGGCCAGGTGTCCTCCAGAAGGTTGCCAATCTTCTCCCACCCTTGCGTGGAAGTCAATTGTGGGTGCATGGACCGATCGCGTGAGCTGTACAGCGTCGACCAAAAATTGCCAGAGTATAGCAAAACGGCCGCAGCTCGATGTCTCCCCGGTATCCCCTGCTTGAACTGTCCCATCCGGTACGCCTCCAAGGTCGTTTCGCTGAACTCCTCTTTCGCGGCGTAGGTCTCCAGATAGTCCACGTCCTGATCCATTATACATTGGCTCACGCCAAAAATCAGGGGGATGTTCATGTCGATGAGAGTCATCTCGATCTCCTTGTCGTCCAGCCCCGACCTCTCCACTGTCCTGTGGACCTTGAGGTCGTTCTTGATGCTGAGTAGGTGCGCTGTCACCAGCGCCGGCTTGCATGCCATGTCCATAATCCGATGAAGAGCCTGTACCGTTTCCATCTTGGCTCAAGGGCTCCGTATCTGCACTGGTCGCGAGTTGCGAAATGGTTGTTTGCAGATTTAGGGTTTAGGGTTTAGGGTTTAGGGTTTAGGGTTTAGGGTTTAGGGTTTAGGGCTTAGGGCTTAGGGCTTAGGGTTTAGGGTTTAGGGTTTAGGGTTTAGGGTTTAGGGTTTAGGGTTTAGGGTTTAGGGTTTAGGGTTTAGGGTTTAGGGTTGCAGGGTTTAGGGTTGCAGGGTTGCAGGGTTTAGGGTTTAGGGTTTAGGGTTTAGGGTTTAGGGTTTAGGGTTTAGGGTTTAGGGTTTAGGGTTTAGGGTTTAGGGTACGGGGGCAACCGAAAGGGGACCAACCAGGGTATCAACCCTCAACAGCTGCCTGAATGAATTTCCCAGAACGAACCAGAAAGACAAACACACAGGGTTAAAGTTCACCAGGTCAAAGGAAGGGGCACCCTTACACAGGTAGAGGGGCACTAACCCAACCCTCACTCCCAAACACGAACTTTTTTTCTTTGGACGGGCTGGCCATCCTTGAGCCAGAAAGGTTATCGGGTTCATTGACCCCTTTTCCTTCAACACCAACTCCTTTCCTCAATACAAACTGCAGCTCCGCACTTCCCCTGTCCTAGGATTTCCTAGGACACAAACTGGAGGTGCAGGCTTTTGGCCAAAAACTGCCATTAAGGCAGCAGCCAGCTGCTTGGAATGCAAGTTATGGTTTCACGTCATCCAGGACGAATTTATAGCACATTGGCTAAACACCTTTTACCATAGAGAATCTTTTTACCACCATGATTCTCTTGTCATTGAAGACTCTTCAGCCTTCTTCACCACGAACCGTGGTCTTCGCTACGCAAAAAGCTACAAACTCTCTACTATCAGGGATTTCCATACCCTTAATAGTAACCACCATACATACTTTCAGCGCATTGGCTGTTCCAGCGCACTTGTCTTCGGAAAGAGAAAACCATTCCATCATTGACACCATCCAGTCATCCCTTCTTCTTCCTCCGATTGGCGTCGATGCTTAGATGGAGTCGCAGCAAAACATGTTCCAGGTCCGATACTGTAAGAACAGGATCTTGCACGCACCTTTGAATTGAGGATACCAACCCCTCTCTCTTCGCGTCCTCAATTGCTTGGCAGGATTGTCCCAGTTCTGCATCAACAGTGGTAGATGACTGCGCATCCACTTCAGAAGGACGATCCTTTTCTTCAGGACCCTTCACCTTTGCCACCTCTTCCTTTTTTGGACTCTGGCTCTTCTCCTTCTTCCGCGTCTTTCCCGAAACGCTTGTCTTTGTGCGCGCTCGTGAAGAGGCCTTTTCCTCTCCAGAAACCACCACTTTTGTTGATGATCCACCCTTCTCAGCATTCACCGGCATCTTCTTCGGCTTTGGAACCAGAAGAGTGTATGGATCCTCACTTGCAGCAGTCTTCCGCTTCTTCTTGGCTTTTTTCGCCTCTTCCTCCACGGTAACCTCCGTTTCCAAGGTTTCCAATACCTCCTTTTTGGCAGGAGTGTCCTTCTGGGACTCCCCTTCTAGGGACCTCTTTTTGCCCCTTTTTGGATCGCTCTCTTCTTCCAGGTTAGCTCGTTGGAACCATATCCTCAAATCATCGATCCACTCTTCAACCTCCACCAGTGGCATCTCACACGACTTCACTACTTCGTGAAGTTCCAATGAAGACAGCATGCCAGTAGTCCATGAACACCATTCTGCGTCCATTTGGTCAGCATCTCCATTGAACTTTAAAAGTTTAAACACCGGATCCGCTTCCGCGCGGGCCAAATCTGACTTACCATCAGACATGTAAGAAATTGCCTCCATCAGCAATTCTATCATCCTGGTGTCGTCGTCGTACCCCATCAAATCCTCATCATCTTCATCATACCGTTCAGGAGAAATTTCCTTTCCTCCACCTCTTGTACCAGTACTCCTCCGCGGACCATCCCTTGGGGGCGTCCTTGGAGACCTTGGCCTCTGTTCATCCAGCGGATCACCATGTTCAAAGACACACCTGTCCCCATGACGGCATTTCCCAGACTGAGCAAACTGAATACACCTTACACCAGTTGCGTCGTGAGAGAACTTGCAGTCCTCTCCAGCGTAGCAGTGTCTCCCAGCCACATAATATTTGCACCAATACGATTGTAGCACCACATCATCATTGGAATGAATAAATTTGCAGTTCTCACCAAACTTGCAGCGATTGTTCCCTTTTGCAAACCAATAGCAGATACCTTGTCTCCTTTTTGACAAACGTTCTGCTTCAAGACGGTCCATCGAACAATCCCGCACTACATGGACATTGCCATGATCTGGAGAACTACCTTTTTTACCCAAGGTGCTATCAATGTTTGATGCATCAAGAACAGCTGGAAAACCTGGCCTTGGTCCTATCACCTTCATGATTGGTTTCCCACCAGCTCCTGAGCCATTCTGAGAGGATCCACAAATATTGAGCATTTTCAAGAAGGCTTTTCTAGTGCCGATCTTCCGAACCTTTTTGATTGGATGATTTACTGCTCCAACCTTGAGTCCAGATACATTCGAACGACACAACCTCCTAAACCCGGCTCTATACCCCTTTTTCCAAAGAGCCATAAGAATTCTAGAGGCAGTTACATTCTCCACCTCTACCTTTTCCAACTGTCCCTCACTTTCCGGAACAAACCCATCCAACACGTTCATCTCTGAAGACGTTTCCATCCTTTTTGACATCACTCCATCGAGATAATCTTCAGAGATCCGGGGCAAGTTCCTCTTAGAGGAAATCAAGTCATCACCACCATTCGGTCCTTCACCAGGATACCCTTTCGTACTGTCAAAGATCCTACCAGTAGTGCGGTCCTGTATAGAGAAATCCCAGTTGGAAGCGACGCGAGAATACACCGACCACAAGAACATTCTGGTGCCAGCCAATCTTGATGAACCACTGGATGTCTCCTCTTCTGGAGAAACTTCTGGCGCTTTGCCATCACTTCCAGTGTCACCAATTGTCTCACTTCCAGCATCTTCGATGGGAATAGGGGATTCATTGATCCCTTGTTCAAATACCGCATCTTGCTGTTCGGGGATCTCCAGCACCATCCCTGAAGGATCCACTTCCTCATCAGCATCGTCGTCCATCCTTTTCCAGAGAACCTCCAATTGATCAGCACAAGTCGCCGCCTGAAGGAACTCCATCATTTGGTTCCTCCCGCGCTGCCAGAGAAATTCTGAATTCACCACCAACCCTTGGCCTCCTAGGGTAAGGAACGGAGCAACCAACTTGGCTACCCTCGCCATAAGTTCAACATGAACTTCCATGCCTGGACTGCGACTCCAATCGTAGGCTATTGCCTCCATAGCAGTTCCAAACTTTTCAGTATTTCTGAATTCCCTTTCCAGGCCAGGAGATAGCAATGCACCCATCACCGCAAGAGGATAATTTCCCACCACCGGCAAGCACGGATCTTCATGGAACGAATGATGCAAATCTCCATAATGTCCTTGATCTCTCCTTTGAAAAAGGAGTCTCCCAGTCTCCAACTGGGCATTCAGTTCATCCACTTGAACCATTTCAACACATATCCTCTGCGCTGCAGTCGCTATTGCCGGCCAGATGGCACGATCGGTCAAACCGCGACGCGTAACCCAATCAGTTGTTGGCGACTGAATCAGCGTTCGTGGGTCATACGCCGTAACCACCAATGTACCATCATCCATTGACTGATCAGCATCGTCCACCAGTGCCAGGTTCAAATCCTGTTCGCTTGCACCTTCGGATGACATGCTAATAACCAAATTTCGATCCATTTTATTGGACCCCTTCTGACAGTCCTTTTGCCCCACAGGCAACTTGCCGACAGCAACCTTCCAATAAATCCGATTCAGAAGGCCTTTAGTAAGCAATTGCTGATGGCCCTTCTTCACCGGAAGAACATCCAATATCTTCGTACCATCACCACGGAGTTCATTGCTCCCACCTTCTCCTTCTTTTTGGTCAGTCTCCTCGCCAGGAATTTGTACTGCTCCTTCCAGCGCCGTCTCCTGTCCAGTCACATCTTGCCCAGGTAGAACTTGAGCGCTTTCAGATACGTTCACCTGTCCAGCAACACCTTGCCCAGGTAAAACCTCATCCATGGAGCCCACCGCCAGCGAACCAACTATAACTGAGCCATCCCTTGCTCTTTTTTTTGAGACTGCTCAGTTCGACGAGAAGGTTGTGGTAGCGAAAAAACTTGAGAAGTCACTTCTTGGCGGGTCTCCCCCCGCGACGCTTTGTCGCGCCCTTCGCCAAGGTGAACCGATTTTTTCTGCCCATCATTGGAGCTTGAAGAACCAGCAAGTGGAACATTGCCACTTGTCTTAGTTCTTTGTGAATCCCTTTCTCGCAAAAAGGTTTCCCACAGGTGTCGCGCGCTGTTGGTTTCTTCCTCGCTTGAATCACCTGAGGAATCAGCATAGGAGACCAGAGCTCCCGTCTGATCATCATCATCCACCACATCTGCCCACGCTCTGCTGAATGGATACGACAAACCACCACGAGGCTTTACCGGTTCCAGTGGCTTTGGCTTTTCCACCACCTCCGCTGGCTGCACACGCCGATGTGAGCGAGAGCGTGGCACCAGTCGCACCTGTTTCCGATCCAGCAAGGGCCTTCCCCTTCTAACAGGGTTTGATCTTGACCTATACGCCTTTGTTGGCGGGTTCACCGGTGGCATTCCAACTCCCACCAATCGCAACCTCTGCACGCACAGCGGGGACCTCTGCGCAAGCGTCCAAGCGTCACGGAACTTGCCTGTGTCGAAAATCTCTCGATAAGACCCTCGCGGCATCTCCTTTGTACCAGGACCTTCAGCTTCACGCACCTGAGAGATAGTTCTCACCGCCCCTCTTCCAGCTTCCCGGCTTCCAGAAGATTGCTCCATGCGTACCGATGCGTTGGTAGAAACAGCCACATCCGGCGACATTGGCCGGTAATGG